ATAAGATTTATGAAAATAGTACCAAAATCTGAAAATACGTGTCAATCAAAATAAAACCGACGAAGTCTCAAACGTCCAGACCTATGATGATTTAAGATACCAACATTTGTATTCATCATTTTCTAATCGATAAATACTGTAGTATTGCAAAATGTTAAAAACCATTTAATGAATAAATATTAGTATAAAAATTTCACCCCGCGCATGCGTGCGGGTTATCATCTAGTATGTTTCTATTTACCGCTCGATTCAGCTTGACGGCATCTGAAACTGAAACTTTTTCAGACGGATTATCAGTAGAGAGAAAGAGGGTGAAGCCGATTCTAATGGCGTCGAATTCGGATATGGGATCTGCTGATTTCGAATCCTTGTCCTCCACCTCAGACGTGGAGCTCTTGAAGAGAGCGTGGCGTAACGAGAAGGCGGCGCCGGAGATTCTTCCGTACGAAGGTGATCTCGTCGAAAGAGCCAAAGGGCAGATTGAATTAGTGGTGAATCTTCTTAAAGCCCTAATCTTTTCTTTTGGGTCTTCCTTAAGTTCTTAGTTCTCATGAACACAATGTTACTCAGATAAAAATCACATCTTTTACATCTTCACTTCAAATTTGCATTGTAGCTTTTGTAAAGTTTGAGCCTTTTTTGAAATTTTGGTAACTACAGGAAGGAAATATTGAAGATTATGTGGAAAATGGTATGGACCCTTTGGTGGTGTCGCTTTATCAGATGGATTTGGACAGAACTCAGTTTCTACTGAGATCATATCTTAGGGTTAGACTTCTCAAGGTGTGTTCTGTTGATTGGTTTCCTTCTCAGTGTTAGGTTACTTTATAAACTTTGGGTTTGTGTATTTTCTAAGGGTGAGTGTTGGGTGCAGATAGAGAAGTTTATGTTCCACACCCTGAAGTCAGAAGAAGCTGAAAGCCGTCTTTCTGAGCAAGAGAAAGTTTTTGCTACAAAGTTTGTTTTCTTTTTTTTTTTATTGGTTACATAATTGTCTGAATTTATGTTAATTTGGTTGGGGTTGTGAGAGGTATATGTATGGGGATGGTTGCAGGTGTGTTGCTGATTTGGCAAAGCATTTCGAAGAGAGCGTACTGATTAAGTTGCGTGAGAGCTATCGGTCGGTTCTCAAGCAATCCCTTATAAGTGAAGAGGATGATATGGGTAACCTACCTAAAAACCTCATGTTCCATCTCTCCAAATATAGAATCTCAGTTGGTTTAGATTGTCCTTAGAGTTAAACAATCACTTCATAGTAGCTAGAGTTGCTTGTGTTAGTGATGACTAAGATTGTGTCTTGTTTTCATTACCAGTGCCGGAGCCGCATTTGGATACCTTTGTTGTTTCTAGAAGCAATAGCCATGTCACTCTAAATCTATACGAAGAGTGAGAACTCCTTTAACATTATTTCTCCTTACACAGCCTTTCGTGTAACCTAAGTGAGGTTTGCTCTTGTTTTGGCAGAGGAGAGAGCCACCAGATTGTGGAGATGTACCGTGGTGATGTCTACTTCATACGTTACAAGGTTGCAAAAGGAGCAATCGAATCTGGGAAAGTTGACTTGATCTGAGCTCAAAAGCTAGAAGTGGTTCATTTTCAGTCAAATCTCTTTACATAGCATAAACATTAGCTGCTGCTACCATTGTTCTTTCTTTATGATCTTGAGTTGTATAGTGAATTTCTAGATCGTTTTGAGTTTCCTTAATGTCATGGTAGAGACTTGACTCTCCTTGTGGCTTGTGCTCTTGTCATGCAAGTTCAAACACTCCGCGTACACCGGAAGGTTCAGAAAAATGGTCTTTCCTGGTGTGCCACAATATGCACCACACAAATCATTAATTGTTATTTGTGAACTTGAGATATTTTCTTTCGTTCAACAAACTTGAGATACTTAAAACAATAAAATCTGAAGAAAATAGTTGTGAGTACATTTAAATTAAAATATGTTATCTTCTAAACAGAACAACCCCAAAATCCGTAATTATACTGACAAAGAAAAATAAAACAATTTGGCATGAATATCACCAAAATATCTAAAAACGTTACGTGTGCCGACCAATTAAAGAGTTTAGTTGGTTATTATTACTGCAGAGTCTTGGATAGAGAGAGCATAGAGGAAAGATCTCGCAAAGTCTTCACCTTTCAACCTTGCTCTGTGAGTTTGTCATCTTTTTGATCTCTGTGAAGTTATTCACATCTTGATTTCTTTGTGTGTTATTGCGATTCTTGAAAGTGTTTAGATGAAGTTTGGATCTTACCCTAGGGTCTGTGAATTCAGTTGGTTGGGATGTATCAGTTCAAAGGATAAACATTGACACTCATGAGATTTGAGATGAATATTTTCTCTGGTGAATTCGTTAGAGTTTAGAAGATAAATGTTTCTTGCTTGTTTTTGAGAGTTGCAAGAGACAACTGTCTTTTGAGTTTGGTGTTGTTTAACTTTGAGGTTAGCAAAATTGGTGATTATCTCTATTGAGTTTGTTCCTTGCTTGAATTACTCTTTGTTCTTGAAATATCAAAATTGCTTTTCTTTCTTAGGTTGATTTCTTTGTTAGCCTTTGGACAAGAGGGCGAAGTGTGTGCGTTTTGGTGTAGTTGAAGATCTGTTGAGAACTCTCGGAAGATACTAACAGCAAAATGGGTCTCTAGTTCCTTCTTGTAAAAACCCAAAGCCTGCTTTAGAGTCTTCAACGTTTGAACAAAAATGCATCTGTGGCCGTCATTGAAACTTAGAAACTCTTTCAAGAGCACTAGTAAGAAGAGATATCAAAGGACTAACAGCAATGGGCAAAACAGTCAAAACAATCAACAGAGACTCCTAGAATCTGGCCCTGAGAGTCCATCTGGTAGCTGGTTTGGTGTTGTCTGCAGAGACCTTGCCATGGTTCTCTCTTGCTGCTTCTGTTGTTTCTGCTGCGGTGGTAAACCTTCTTGAATCTTTTTTTTCTCTTTTTAGCAATTTGCTCTTTTGTATATGTCTCCGGATGAAACTTGATCAGCTCCTATATCTGAACCAAACTAGTGACTTGATTTTCTCAGACACAAGTATTGAATGTTGATAACCATTCTAGTTTTTTTGTATGACCCTTGAGCGTTAACAAAGGATTAGCTAAACTGTAGGTTTCTTCTTCTCTTTTGAATCATTTGTTTCAAACTATTTCAGCTTGCATTGATGAGGAAGAGAATTGATGCTAAGCTGCTCCCACTGGAGGAAAAGATAATCATAGCTCTTTAAAGAAAAACACAAGTCTCTCTCAAAATGTAACATATTGTTTCTGTTGACTTTCTGAATTGTATATTTAGCTTTCTACAACAACTATTATTATACAATATTAAAGTTGTATTAGTGGTTACAGTACTGATTACTGAATGCCTTAATGATCTGCCACCACACACACACAAGCAGCTTGTAATCAAATCTCAAAAGCACATTTGTTAGCTTGTTGGTGATTCCTTATCCATAGCTTCTTCCCACTATGTAGCATCATGATAACAATATCTACTTTTATCAACATGCCACATCATCAATCCATCATCCAAACTCACTTTATAAAGAATCTAAAGATTACATTAAAATTCTAATCACCTAGGATTAAACATGTAAAGAAGCGAAGCATTCAACCATTAGGCCAATGAATCATTTAAATGGATCTAACTAAACAGCCGAAACTTTGGTCCAATGTACATCTGCCACGTAACAGTAATCCGAAAAGCTCAAAAAAGAAACTAAAATACGAAACTAGACTCGACTATTCAACTAAATTACATAAACTACCTCACTTCTTGTGTCGGCTCGCGCACTCTCTTCCCCCTCTCGTTATACCTGGGAGCTCGTGAAAGCTCGCCTCTTTGTCCCATCTATACATACACATATATAGTGTATCTATACATTCGTTAAGTCACTCTCAAAAATCATGGAAGCTCCATGTATGAATAATCTTAAGAAGCAGAGAGAGTTTACTCTAGCTTCCGTCACTGATCTCACCTACTCTTCCTCCTCGTCATCTCTTTCGTCCTCCTCTGTTGTAGCTACGTTCTCCTGCGTTAATGAAGTCAAGGAGCTTCGGTTTCAGGAATCTGAATCGTCTGATGGTTTCAGCTTTGATCTTACTTCCGCTCAGGTGGATGTTGATTCGCTTTCAGTTTTTTTTTTTTTCATCCAAAGTTTGAAACTTTACTGTTTTTGATTAAGTAATGTAGTAAAGGGTCATGTAGTGATGATATGGATGTTTTTGGAACCAGTCAGTACTGATACATTGCATTGATCCGTATCTGTTGTGTTTTGTTCAGTTGTTCAAGTTGGGACCGCTTCAGTTTGTCTGTGTATCTGATTGTTCGGTTTCCACTAAAGAGGTACGTTTCGGCCACGCTCCGAGTGTCTACTAGATGATGTGTTCACATTAATGTTCAACTGATATAAAAGTGTTACCTTTGTATCTGATGTATATATATTTTTTGTTTTTTTTTTTTTTTTTTTGTGACCAGAATTCATTGTCTCGAGGGATTGTAATAAAGTTTAGAGATGAAAAGGAAAGCAATGATTTTTCTGATTCATTTGAAGAATGGACTAAGGATGCTGTTATAAAAGGTGCTTCTTTGGAAACTTCTATGTGTTTTTTTTGTTTCTTTCAGAAAAGAAAGGTTTCTATTTTGCCTTGTATAAGTGATGTGTATGCATATAGTTTTTGGTTTCTTTTTTTGTTCCTATTGAATTAGACGTCTCTTTGTGGCCACATTTTTTTAATAAATTATCTGCTCTCTGTCTATATTCATGATTGTTGCTCGTAACAATTCTTTGATGCCTTTCTCATTCTTTTCGTTTCTAGGATCATGCTTGCCGAACGGAACAGTTTCAGATAGTAGAAGCAAGTTCGACAATAAGATAGAGGCTGCTTCAGCCAAAATGTATTTCCATTATTACGGACAACTTCTACATCAGCAAAATATGCTTCAGGATTATGTGAGGACAGGTTAAGACGTCTGGCCTCCTCAGCTGTGTTTTGAAATTGTTTTTGTTGGTTTGGGAGGATGAGCATCTATCAGAGTTGGAATTTATGTAATTTTCTTCACACAGCTACTTGACTCATGATACCTCTTTCTATTTCATAATATTTGTCTTCAGGTACTTATCATGCTGCAGTCATGGAGAATCGTTCAGACTTTTCTGGGCGTATTGTGGTTGATGTGGGTGCTGGAAGTGGCATTTTGTCGATGTTTGCTGCACTGGTATGCAAATATATTTTAAGAAACGTTGGCCCCAAAAAGTTCTTAGAACTACTCTAGTTCTTCATTGTGCTTATGTTTTTTTAATATATGCTTATTGTGCTTCTACTCTTATTTAGGCTGGTGCCAAGCACGTGTATGCTGTGGAAGCGTCAGAAATGGCTGATTATGCTCGTAAGCTGATTGCTGGAAACCCATTACTCGCTGAACGGATCACGGTAAGATCTGTAGTCCAGTTTTGCTAGTACATTTTTCATGTATATCCATTTTTTTTCTGATGTTCTTCAAGTCGGCACAAGTGTAGGTCATCAAGGGGAAAATTGAGGATGTTGAGTTGCCTGAGAAGGCTGATGTTTTGATCTCTGAACCAATGGGTATGTGCTAACAGAGATGAATTCTTTTCACATGCTCTTCATGAACATTAGAATCTTTCAGAAGGCAAACTTACATAAAACTACTGAATTGAAGTCTTAATGATTTGTTCAGAGTATATGTCTTTACTCTTTATCATTAAATTAACTGTGACTGTAGGCACCTTATTGGTCAACGAGAGGATGTTGGAAACATATGTTATTGCCAGGGATCGTTTTCTGTCACCAAACGGAAAAATGTTTCCAACGGTCGGAAGGTAAAACTGATATTTGATAGTACTCTTTTAATGCATAAAAATCATTCCTTCTTATTTACTTTCTCATTGTAGGATCCATATGGCACCTTTCTGTGATGAGTTTTTATTTATTGAAATGGCAAATAAGGTACATTATGCGCATCCTCTAATGAAGGTTTTGTCTGAAATTGCTTATAACATACATAAACGGAGATGGCTGGGTTAGTATGTGAACTAAGCTTTCCACCTCTATCCAGGCTTTGTTTTGGCAGCAACAGAACTATTATGGAGTTGATTTGACACCTCTATATGGATTAGCACACCAGGGTTATTTTTCCCAGGTATACTTACAACTAGTGGATCATTGATTAGTGTTTTTTTCCTTTTACAATGAGTCATATCTACTGATTTTGTAGCCTGTCGTTGATGCATTTGATCCAAGATTATTGGTGGCTCCCTCCATGTTTCATGTGATAGACTTCACTAAGATGACGGTATAGCTACTCTCTACATAAGACTTGGTTCACTGGTGTTTCCTTAACATCGAGAATTTTTTTGGTGATATTTTTTCATATATGTGGAATTTCAATGTGCATTCCTCCCTGTTTGGTGAATGACATGATCCAAACTCATTTACCTGTCAATTCATTTTCACAGGAAGAGCAATTTTACGAGATTGATGTTCCGTTGAAGTTCACAGCGTCTGTTTGTACCAGAGTGCATGGACTTGCGTGCTGGTTTGACGTTCTCTTTGATGGAAGGTATCAAGCAATAACAACTTTATACGTACTGTCTTTCCCTTATGGTTAATATACCTTTGGTGTCATACAATGCAAACCTGATCTCCTCTCTATATCCAACAGCACGGTGCAGAGATGGTTCACAACTGCTCCTGGTGCACCAACAACCCACTGGTACCAAATAAGATGTGTCCTCTCGCAGCCTATTCATGTCATGGCAGGGCAAGAGATCACTGGTAGACTTCATTTAGTTGCACACAGTGCTCAGAGTTACACTATAAATCTAACACTCTCAGGTCAATTTTGCTCTCTTGCATCTCTCCTTTTGAATCATAGCAGCTTCGTTACTTTGTTTCAAAAATGACTTCTTAAACAGCTAAAATGTGGGGGACCGGTGGCAATCAAGGTGGAATCCTCCAAACATCATCGTGCAAACTCGACTTGAAGGAACCTTATTACAGAATGTCTCAGCCACAGGTATACCCTGTTGCACAAGAACCACCAGCACAACCGCAAGTAAGCGTTTGGTATTGTCTTGATTAGACAATTAGGATATGATCACTGTTGTGTGATCAAAGGGCGCCTTATCATCTCTAAAGTGTGAAATACCATTGGACATAGCTTAAATACCACTTTAAGTCTATCCGATTCTTGGAATTTACACAGAAGTATGTATCAGCATTATAACCTGTGTTTACATTTTCTCGGTGCAGGACTTACAGATACAGAATGATGACTTGGAAGCAGAGTTGCTACAACAAAACGCAAACGCTTAGCTCTAGAATGCAAAGATCCTTGCCATTGCTTTTATCCATGCCGTGTCTCTGTACTTTCTGTTTAGTTTGCATGGTTTTAGCTCAGACCCTTCACCTTTTAAGACATTGAATCTTACGTATTTATGTTGGGTCCGAGTCCATTTAAACTTTGTATCACGACATGGTTTTTGGTCCTCTCTTAGAAGACACCAGGTTAACTGAGTTTTTGGAAATATTTTGTAAAATACGATTGGATGTTATTGAAAAGTATTGGCAAGACTACCAAAAATATTCCAATTTAGCAACTTATAATATTATCATTGAGTTTACTGAAAGAAAAATGAATTGGAGAATGTACAAAGAGTGCATTGGGCAAATAAATTGTTACAGAATAAAGCAAATTTGAAGATCAGTTGATTGCGGCTGCAACCACAGGCGTAGGCGGACTAGCAACAATGACATTGAAGCAGCGTCCACAGAGAGTAGGGTGTTCAGAGAACGACCCGACCTGGCCTGAGTAGTTCCAGCACCTTTCACACTTGGATCCCTCAGCTCGTGACACACCAATCCACACTTTGTTCTCTCCATCCACATACTCTCCTGTGTGCTGCACACTGCTTACCATCTCCGTCTCCATTGACGACACTACCTCAACCTGTATACATATCCACAACAGTTTCATGGCTAAATTTTCTTAGAAACGTACTCACTATCATCTCATGTTTAATCTAAAAATTATGTAGACCCTGTACACATATATCATCGAAAGGCTACGCTTAATCCATCCCTTAGGTATTTACGAGGTTCTCTGAAATGTTTTCTCTCATACGTCTAATTTCTACATGATGTCCCTACTGCTATTATGATCTGAACTGAACACAAGTTTTCAATTCCCTCGAGATTTAGTGCTTACCTGTGATGTTATGAATATGCGTTGCAGCGTGTCAGCTTCATTCTGAGCTTCACACATCTCTAATAATTTTGAAGCCAAGCTTGCATCGGAGGTATGAAGATAAACCTTTGCTTCTAAACTGGAACCAATTAATTTCTCATTACGTGCAAGCTCCAGCACTTTGTTCACCTCGGTCCTCAACTGTCGCACAAGAACCATAAGCCTTATTAAGATCTTCATGTAGCAAACATTAAAACTAAAAAAAATATTACAGAGAACTTTTGATAGTGCTATATCCAAACTGAGTTTAATATTGTAATATGGTGCAACTATTCATCAACTTCGTATCCACTAAGAAACTAAGGAACTCGAACTATTGTGTAGATTGAGGAAATTGCTGAGAGTTTACTGCTATGATTTTAGGAGATTTTTGATACCTCGAGAAGCCTTTCCCAGAAGAGAACATCTTCAGAAGGAAATGAAAGCCATTGTTCGTTCAACTGAGGCCATTTAAGTTCAAAGACAAACTTTGCTGCAGAGCCATCTTCATTTCTGTACTCGAATGGGAGATTTTGCCAGACATCTTCTGCTAGGTGAGGTACTATGGGCGCGATCACTCTCAATATGGATAAAAGATGTGTTGAAAGAACTGTTTGACAGCTTCTTCTGGTAAAACTCGAAGTTCCCCTAAAGAAGATGTATTGCAATCAAAGATTGGTAAGCGACACATAGGTTGTAGTAAAGATCAACCTAAAGAAGATGAAAAACTTACCCAGTATACAGTCTATCTTTAGCAAGATCGAAGTAGAAATTTGACAGATCAACAATTGTGAATCGTTGTATAATCTGAAATAAAGAAAGGTCGCTTAATAACACTGATCATCCAAAACATGAATTCAGCCTCCCAAGGTGGCGCAAGCATATACCAATATGAAACTAAATAGCAAAACACAACACACAAAATCAGTGATTTAAATTAAAAGAAAGATCCATTGCTCAAATCTGAATTGTGGTTTCTTAGATATATTCGCGCTTCTAATCAATAAGCTAAGTCTCGTTCTGATAACTTATGTATGTTCTCCATCACAGGCAAAGGAAAAACATATGTGAGAATTAGATCATTTTAATGGGCTTCCAGTTTTGTCGTTGCTAATGCCTCTTAGCGTTATCACATTTAAGCAGATAAAAGATATTGGCCCGGTCATAAAACGTGACACATTTAAAGAGACTACTACTCAGTGGATACTACTGATCAGTTCAACTGTACTAAAATAAAATGGTAAGGTTTAGAACCTGGAATATTTTGAAGAACTGGTAGTTCTCATAACACTCTTGTATGTTCTTTACAACATTCTCAAGCTGGAAGAGAGCATGCTGATCAATGATGGGCAAATCCTGGTATGGAACAGCATTATCGACCTGCAAACAGCCCCAAGTCACAACTTATATATTAAAAAACTGCCGCTGAGGCAAAATTTAAAATAAACGTAATAAATCTTGAAAAGTGGGGCAAGGGAAAAAATACAATATATAAAAGCTTAGGGTTAGAGACATACTTTCCAATCATGCAGATTTCCCAAGAGATATCTCAAGGTTCCTCTCAATTTCCTATATATATCAGACATTTGCCGAAGAATTTGTGGGCCTATCAGTACATCCCCTGTGTAATCTACACTAGAAACCCAGAGACGCATAACATCAGCTCCATAAGCAGGTGCGTCCTGGCATAAGAAGACAAACCCTTATCAAGAAACAGATTGGATGAATAATAAATATGTTTTTACACAATGAGCATGGTTGTTATTCTACTCATGAACCTTTGAATTTTTCCCTCCTTCAATGACCAAACGTGGGTCAACCACATTACCCAAAGACTTGCTCATTTTCATACCCTTCTCATCCAGTACAAAACCATGAGTTATAACGGCAGAATAGGGTGCCTTTCCTATATACAATAATACAAAATGTGAAGAAATAAACATGAAAAACCAACTCACATCAAGATAGCGAAAATCTGTATTTATATTGGCAGTTATTACCTTGTGTTGCGATGCTTGTTAACAAAGAACTCTGGAACCATCCACGATGCTGATCAGTACCTTCTAAATACACATCTGCAGGGAAAGTAAGACCTTCGCGTTTCCCCAATACACCAGCCCATGAGGAACCTGACATACAGATGAAAAGTGGTGAAAAATAGTTATTTGGTGCTTTGTATCAACATTCGTTAATTATAGTACCTGAGTCAAACCAGACATCCATTGTATCAGTCCCTTTTTCATAATCAGCTGCTTTATCACGATATTTCTCAGGAAGTAGGTCTTCAACCGACATATACCACCACGCATCACTACCCTTTTGCGAAATTATAGCTGTCCGACAAGGTATACAGATAAGGGTACAAGAAAGCCATAGCATCTATATCGAGCATGAATAATTGAAAACATAGTTTCTAAGAAACATCAAAAAGGCGACCATACTATCGTTTTAACCCTTACACTTAACATGTTCAACTGTCTCTTCATTCATTAGGGGTTCTTTTGTCTCAACATGATAAAAGACAGGAATAGGGACACCCCACGTCCTTTGTCTCGAGATGCACCAATCAGATCGGCTGGAGGTCATCGCAGATATTCTGTTAACTGCCTGAAGCAAAACACATCAGGTACCAAATTAAACTCCAAACAGCATACCAAGCACATCTTAGAAAGAACATATAAGACAGCTAAGAGGAGGACGAGCAGTAGAAACAGTTGACCATATTAATTCCCAACAATGAGTAAATACGGCAAGGTGGATCAAACTATGTGGTTAATACACCCGTACATGATACTTTCAACCCACACTCAAGCAAAAAGAAACCAACCTATAAAATCAATATGCAGTTAACTAGGTACCTGATGTGGTATCCATTTTACATTGTTGATTGCATCCATAGTGGCCTTGCGAAATCCTTCAACTGATGCAAACCACTGCTCGGTCGCTCTAAAAATCGTTGGTTTCTTAGTTCGCCAATCATATGGGTATTTATGAGCTGCATACAGAGGAAAGAAATCAAGTCGTACGACTCTTTTAATCTGGAATAGAGTGAATGAAAAATATTTTCTCAAGTGATTGGCTAGAAAGCATCTGCAGCCAACTCACCATACGATTCTTCCATGACCAGAGACATATTTTCATCCAGGTAACTGACAACAGCACTATTCCCTTCTCCAAGTACGGAGAGCCCTTTAAACTGTCCAGCTTCTTCAGTGAAATTCCCTCCATCATCCACAGGAGAAACAATAGGCAGTCCATACTTCAGGCCGGTTGCATAATCCTCTTGACCATGACCAGGGGCAGTGTGGACCAACCCTGTTCCTGATTCCGTGGTTATGTAATCACCCCCTATAACGACTGGACAGTCCCTGTTGTCCACTGGATGTGTGTACCTACAACCATAAATACACAACATAAACCAAGGGGTTGAATTTGTAGCACCACACGCAAAATTAAGGTTCCTTGTTTAGTTTTTAATGTAACCTGCAATTTTCAAGATCTGCACCAAGGAATGTTTTTCTTATGATAAGCTTCACACCCCATTTCGTTTCTAATGCTGGCACAAGGTCGGTCGCTACAATCACGCAAAGCTTTTGTTGATTCTTCAGAACCTTCCCAGGCATTTTCTTTTTCTTCCCTGTCGACGCAGATTCATCTTCTGAGGATGAATGAACTTCAACAACAGAGTACTGAAGCTTTGCATTCACCGCCACAGCTGAAAGTTAAACAAGAAGGTAAAGACGGAGAGTACTAAATATCTTATATGGCATCCAGATGAAAACAGATAAAATGAAGAGTATGTATCCTTGCATCTACTTGAACGAAAGGTGGGATATAATCAAAGTAAATAGGATGTATTTTGGCGGCTGAGAGTAACATATGCTAATATGACACTTACCAGCATTGGCTGGAATAGTCCAAGGTGTGGTTGTCCATACTGCCAAGCATATATTAGGAATAAACTCATCTAAAAGGCTTGTTTTCCCTCCACCAACCAGTTTAAAAATAGCATATATGCTTCTTGAAATATGACCCTCCGGATACTACATATAAAGGCAGAGAGACAGGTAGGACTGGTATAAGATACCCATAGTAACGTGTACAATCGTCTAAACATTCAATCATAAAAGCGGCATGCATTAAGAAGTGGGATAGATAATTTCATTTAATCAAGGGTTCATCGAGGATATATTAAGCAGTACTCTGGGTCTAATAAACTACAGATCTTATTACGGTAAAATGTCCAGAAGTAATAAAAATAATAGCAAGACTGGTATAGTTTTAACTGACTTTAGTTTTGCACTGAGCTATCCATGATATGTTTTTTTTTCTTCTTTAGACTATTTGAGATGAAAACGGGAATTTTACCTCTAGTTCAGCTTCTGCAAGAGCAGTACGAGATGAAGGGCTCCAGTGTACTGGTTTCCTTCCTCTATAGATGTACCCTTGCAAGGCCATCTGGCCAAATACTTCAATCTACAATATGTGATATACGATAAATTGATATGTAGACTTTATCAGGCTTTTAAAACCTTACAGAACTCTTACAAAAATCTTCCTGCATGACTATTGAGTCCAGTACATGATGTGGGAGGTCAGGCTAAAACCATTACCTGGGCTGCTTCATATTCCGGATCAAGAGTTAGATAAGGATTATTCCAGTCTGCCCATACTCCAAACCGCTGTAAACATCAAGTATTATGTAATATGTGGTAAATGTCAACTGGATGACCAAATCAAATATCGTTTCATTACTATAACGTTCTAAGAGATCTAAAGATCATAATGGCTGATGCATTTAAAACAAGAACTCGGGTATGTAAATAAAGCTTGATAGCCACCTTAAATGATTCCATCTGGGTTTTGACTGTTGCTTTCGCAAATTTCGCCGCCTTTGCCCTTAGCTTCAGTGGTGTAAGTTCCTTTCTCACTTCCTGATCCAGGGACTGCAGAACTGAAATGTTTGACAGTTGAAGCCAAATAACTAAGACAAGTTACAAACTGGAAATCAACAAAAGGAAAGTTACTTTCCCATGGTAATGTTCTCAAAGGTCCATAACTTATATATACTTGCCTTTCAACTCAATTGGAAGGCCATGGCAATCCCACCCGGGAATGTATTGAACTTTATAGTTTTGGAGCAGCTGGATGAAGAAGCGGACAATTTGATGAGAAGAGGCTTGGATGTGTAAGGAAAACATAGAGAACCCAGATAAAACTAAACGCATCCTCGAGTAAGGAAAGGTGAAATACCTTGTAGCGATTGATGATATCCTTCAATATCTTGTTAAGAGCATGACCCATATGCAGGTCACCATTGGCATAAGGAGGACCGTCATGAAGAATGAAACTCCCCTGAAAATCCAAATAACTATCTGACACTCCAGTTTCTTGAAGCAAATTTGATGTGGGAGAATTATGAGAAACTCACTCCATTGTTATTATCAGAAACTCTCTTGAAGACCTGGTTCTCCTCCCATAGCTTCTGGAGTTCAGGTTCCCTGGTCAAAGAATTCGCTCTCATACCAAAACCTGTCTTTGGCAAATCAACCGTGTGCTTGTACTTTCCTTCTTCTTGCTTTTCCCCTAACCAAACACAATAGCAAATGATTGCCACATTGCATAGCAGTATCCAAAAAGAAGTAAAAAACCAGTGAGAATGCAAACCTTCAGATGCTTTCTTTGCTGCCATAACAGGCCCACGAGACCTACGCTTTGATGAATGACCAAACTCGTTGTTCGGTTGAGTTGAATACCGTGAGACATGTAGGAAAGAAAATGCCTTGACGGGAGACCTTCCCTTAGCAAGAAATGAATCCAACGGTGTGATTCTCCTTGAATTTGAACAGCTTCTACCTGACAATACCTGAACCAGCACAAAGCACAATCTCAAAATATATCTACACAACAACGATACAATAATTTTTATTCTTTTTCTCAAACAAGTTCTTTAGACAACACGTTTTACTATAAAAGAGAGCGTAGAAATAAAATCAGTTAAAAATTTAGTTAATGAGAGCTCCAAGTATTATACGAGTCCTTAGAAAGTCAGAACCCAAGTCGAACTCCTCAAAATTTCTTATAAAAATCACCTCATAAGCCTCTGAAATTTTATCGAACAACTGGTGTGCAATATTATAAACACTCAGTACTTTAAGAACAAACCTGCGTAGTATATCTAAAAGCCTTACAAGTCGAACTAATTTAACAAATCGTAGAAACCGAAAAAGCCATTGCATTGATAAGATGGACTAATTGAGATACTAATCAATATGTTTTAGGTTAATTAAACTTGAAAGAGAGGCAATTAAACGGAGGAGAGAGGAAGGATAAGAAGTAATAATATCCTTATAACTTTTTTTGTCACATACTCTGTAAGATGAGGACTGCACCATTGCCATGGCAGCTGCTTCCCTCGGATTCCCCGCAAAAGATTTGAAGAAAGACGACATCCTCTACGCTTCGATTATCTCAGCTCATTTTCATGCTGCGCTAATCGGCGAAACAAGCTCAGAAAGGTGTATGTGTGTGTGGATAAACCGTTGACACTAATAAACCCAAACCTCAGAACTCGATTTTTTACTTTCAGATTTTTATCTTTTGACCCCTAACTTTCTGATTTTTCCTAACAAACTCCCTTTTAAAAAATAAGTATTATATTTGGCCCATTATAAACATTTATGTAAAAATATCTGGTTCGTCATCGTCATCGTCTCCGACTTGACTACCTCTCTTAGCTACGGCAAGCCAGCACTGAATTAAACAATCAACCTTCTCTCTTCTCAGCTTCTCCTTCTCTCTTCCTCTTCCATGCCAACTCTCATCATCTGAATCAGGTAAACTGTTAATTTGTGTCTCCGACGAGATTTTGATCATTGTTTCGATCGTTTTCACCTAGATTTACGAAAAAAATTCAAATCGCAGCTCTATTCTAAATCTGATTCGCTCGTTATTCCGTTAGGTTTTGAATTAGGGATTCGAAACGTTATGGATAGCAACAAAGACGATGCGGCGAGGTGTCTAAGGATCGCCGAAGACGCCATCGCTTCTGGCGATAAGGAACGCGCATTGCGATTCATCAAAATGGCGAAACGTCTTAATCCAAGCCTCTCCACCGATGAACTCACCGCTGCTTGTGACAATCTCGATTCAGTTTCGGAGAATCCATCTCCTAAGCACAAAGCTGTTGATGATGGTGATAAGCTTGAGCATAAGACTAACGAGGAAGAGAATAAGAAGGTATATTATACTGAGGAGAATGTTGAATTGGTTAGGAGTATCAAAAGGAACAACGATTACTATACGATTCTAGGTTTAGAGAAGAACTGTTCAGTTGAAGAGATTAGAAAAGCTTATAGGAAGCTCTCATTGAAAGTTCACCCTGATAAGAACAAGGCTCCTGGCTCAGAGGAAGCTTTTAAGAAAGTTTCGAAAGCGTTTACGTGTTTGAGTGATGGTAACTCGAGGAGCCAGTATGATCAGGTGGGGTTTGTTGATGAGTTTGATCATATCCAGAGGCAAGGTACTCGTAGTAGGCCGAGGAGGAGGAGGTATAACACTACGCGGAATGATTTTTTCGAGGATGAGTTCGATCCTGATGAGATATTCAGAGCGTTTTTTGGTCAGCAGCGAGATGTGTTTGGTGGGGCTACACGTGCTTATAGAGCTAGACAAGCGCGTGCTCAACCACGAGAGGAGGAGATTAATTTTGCTGGACCGACTTGTTTGACGATGATTCAGATATTACCGTTCTTGCTGCTTTTGTTGCTGGCTTATCTGCCCTTTTCTGAGCCTGACTATTCTCTGCACAAGAGCCAGACTTATCAGGTGCCAAAGACGACGGAGAATATGGAGATTAGCTTTTATGTTCGATCATCCTCGGCTTTTGATGAGAAGTTTCCGCCTGGTAGCTTTGCTCGTGCTAACCTTGAGGCTAACGTGATGAAAGAGTACAAAAGCTTTCTTTTCCAGTCATGTCGCATTGAGATCCAGAGAAGGCGGTGGAACAAGAAGATGCCAACTCCTCACTGCAATGAACTTCAAGATCGTGGGTTTGTTGATAGGTAACAGCTTTCATTTCTTCCTCTAATTCTTTTTCACTGGTTTACTTGTGATCTCCAGAAGCTGACTTGTTCAATCTATAAGATCATCAAAGAGTGAATCCCTTTTGACTAGTGAAGATCTTAAAGATGGCCATACAAATGAATGTCCACACAAAAATCTAACCTGAAACCCCATACATTTGATCTGGAAAATGCTAGTGTTAGTTTTTTTTAATGGTCAGGCAACAAATATTAAAGATGCTTAATCTTTTGTTTGTTTGGCACTAAACAGGCAAATACCGATATGAAATCAGCTCAAAACTGTCCAAGATTTTGCGAAGACTGCCAGATTTGACGTTCTTGGAGCTAAACGTGTAAACTGTAACGTGTAATGTGTCTAGGGAGGATAACTATAATCTTTTTTTTCTTGCATATGGATTTGGGGATAATAATTCGTAGGAGAATATTGAGAACAACAGAGAAAAAAGTCCTTACAAGAGAGGTACCACTTGCTATACTCATATTATGATTCAAAAAGAAACTGACTCGAACAGTTCTCTTAAAAATATGCAGAATAATAGTTCTATTAACATCTAATATGATAATAGGGCTTTGATTTGTTTCAGTCAGATCAAAGCTGTACTGATGAGCTTACGGGTAAATGTTTTGGTTTGAGAATCTATAGATTATGCCAATGGTTCAAATACTATTGTTGCTGGCTTGCTGCTACTGCTACATTAAGAAACCTTAGGGATCATGTGTGAAGAGTTACATAAGAAATTTCAATGTCTTAGAGGGTGAAAATGAGACTAAGTAACATTCCAAAACCTTAAAAGTGATTTTCTTTTCGTTGAGAATGAATTGAACAACTTATTCGGAGATTGGTGGAACTTTGTGTATGGTTTGGTTCATTTCACTTTATTCTCTTAAGTTTAGTTTTCATTCATTGAGTATTGATTCTCCCACTGTGGTGGTTAACATTAAGATATAAGAGAATGAAGTTATCATGTGGAAGTTGCTACAGAGGATTTCACTGCGTTAGGTAGTGCTAATTTTTCAGTATTCTCTGTCTGCTTTCATAACAATTAGTCTCAACTCGTCTTCTTGCCTGACTAATTAGTTTAGTTGTATCTGGGGTCGTGTCATAAGGGTTTAGGTTTAATCAGCCATGTCCAATATACACCCAACAAAAGGGAAGAGAATATAGCCAAATGGTTTGTAATTTTCTTACTGTGCTTTAGCAAAAATGCAGAGAAAGTTTCATCGAAGAGAAATTATTTAGAATCTGACAAGCGAGGGGTCAGAAATCAGAAAAATTATCTCACATTATTATTGCTTCTTTGTAATTTTCTGTTCCTTTTCTGAATCATTACATTTCAGAACAGTGAAACTATATGGATGAAATTTGAGACACGGATGAGAACTTGACAAACAAACAAAATACACACTGATGAGGAATGACACTGTTTTCAGAAAAAGGATACAAACTGCATGCCGTTCTGGTGTGTTAACATCATGTTTTTCAGGCGCTTGGCCTTCATTAATGACAAGAAGTTGGTTTCGGCGATTACAGATGCTTTACGATTCCGTGGTTAGCTTTGGCAATAACTATGAAAATGAGAGACCAAACTCACAACGCAACACATGCGCAAACGAAGTCATAGAGGTATTAAATGGATGGAAGGTTTGACCCCATCATCAACAGTATTTATATAGACCCAACATGTTCTTGTCACACAACATGATTGAATAAGATGGGTCTGCAAAAACCATTGAATTCTAGGAGGTGGAATGATCAAATCTATGGACTTTAAAAATAACTTTGTTAGTTTATTATAATGAGTTGATTATACTCATCTTCGCAGTATTAATCATTCATTCTAGAGAGTGTCGACTAGTGGACCTTATGTTTCGTTCAGATTACGACTTCTACTGTTTTACAACTTTGTTTTTGCCTTTTAATATCTTTGATAAAACAAAACCATTACTGCTTATTAGTTTTGTGGATCTAGACCGTGAATTTTTGTGTGCGTTTGCGTTTCCATGTTATAAGGAAAACATTACTTTCATGCTAGTGTGTGGCGATTCTTGCTAGTAAGATGAAGCAAAAGTTACGAACATTGCTAGTAATTTGATTGAGATCTTGATCTAATGAACGATCCTACTAAGCTGGTCTAAACACACATGATCAACTTTAAAATACTCTATTATACATAGTTTTGGTCGTTGGAAACATGCATAAAAGTCCACATGGGAAAATACAAAATAAATAAAATTTAAAAGAGTAAATGAGAAGGAGGCCCCTTTCCCCTGTCTCATTGGCTTTGCAGAATCCTCACTAGCTTTCATCTCATGGACCCCTTTACGTCCTCTTCTACACGTTATATAATAACAAAATCTTCTGTGTTTTAATGTCGTTGATCCACTTAACAAATATCAATGTGAAACCAAGTTTGCACTGTCTAGATTTTTACAAGATTAGGTTATCACTATCAGTGATGTATGTAGCAGTACAACCGTTTGTTAATGCTATAAATTTTGTTTGGTCGCAAAGATATAAAAGAAACAAAACAAAAAAAAAATGAAGTTTTGTTTTGGGGACCATGGAATCATAATGCATGTGCAAAGGCATGTGCCTTTTGATTCACTCATTTAACACAAAACTCACACTTAAAAAGCCAGTCAAACCCTTCAAAACCTCATCTTTGACTAGCTTTTCCAGTGAGGTATCTCAATTACTAATTTAATTAGAAACACATCATAATGACAACATAAAGCAAGACAGATGGTTCTTCTAAGTAGAGATTAGAGAGACAAACACAAGGATTAAAAATTATAAAAAAATAAATCAAGAGAACAAGACAAATAAACAGAAGAAAGTAGGTTCCCAAGTATCCTAAGCTCCTCTCTCCTTATTTGACAAAAAGATGATAATTAACATAGAAGAGGTAGTGTAACATTACAATACTATTAAGATCATCAACCAGTGTTCAAGAAAACATCTAAACTGATGAAACTAGTCTTAATAAAACTTTCTTGATTTTTAAGATTGAAACAAACACTTATTGCAACGTGGGGATTAAAACTTCTTTAACTTAACTTCTTACAGCCAACAATGAAGGTATCGCATCCAAGTTCGGAGCTGTGTTCTTACTTGTAGAATCTGTAATAGTACGGCCTCTCTTTGTAGAAGAAGAACTAAAGGCTCTCATAGGACTAGCAAACGCCCATCCCCAGCTCCTGTTCCTCCCACCATGACCCACATTGTTCTGTTGTTGTTCAGCTGATGATGATGATGATACCCATGAAGATGACGAGGAGGAAGAAGAAGAAGACGTCATTATCATAAACCCACCAAAGATCCCACCACATCTCACCATCTCCCTAACACCACTAACTTTCCCGCCTTTGTTGCTACCTTCTCTCTGTGACTCAACCCTTCTCAGAGTACAGTCTCCAAACCCGTTAGTGATCCTCTCAAAGAAGTCTCCGGAGAAGCTTCTGCTTCCACACCCAACAGATCTGGATCTCGACACTTTCCTCTCGCTCTGCTGTGCCGCAACTGTTGTAACGGAAACGTTGTTGGGGCTTCCATCTTCCTCTACAATCACATCAATGCCGTTTCTGTTCACTCTCTTCGACATAGAAGAAGAAGAAGATCCGACCACCGTTGTTGTCTGCTCTGTTTTCGGCTCTGTTTTCGACAGAGTGTTTTCGGTGTGTTTTGTCTGAAAGTTTCCGACTTTCTTGCTGTTTGTGTTGTGTTTGTAAGAGTGGAGATGAAGAAATGACCAAAACCCACTCCGCTTTCTTGGGCTGGAGTCAGAGACTCTGTACGTAGCCGTTGACTGGCTTCTCTTGTAGACGATGTTGGTCGTTGTTGGAGCCTTCTTCTTCGCGAGTAAAAACGGAAGCTTGCTGTTGCTGTTGTTGTTGGCTGTGACGTTTCTGGCTCCGGAGGCGGAGAGGGAGAGAGAGGCGGAGACGGCGTTGGTGGTGGTGGTGGTGGTTGTGGAGCCTACAGAGTCAGATCTGAAGGAAGGAGAAGAGGAAGTGGAGGAGGAAGAGAGGTGTTTAGGGAGAGGGAAAGAGGAAGTGACGAGCTTTCCGAGCTTTTCTTGGAGACAGAAAGCACAGATCCCACCTGGGTTCTTTGTGAAAGGATGGTTCACGCATTGCATACCATCTCCCATGTCTTGATCCTTTGCTTCCACCATTGATAAACCAAAGACTTTCTCTGTTTCTGTATGTGTTTGAGAGAGTGTATGAGAGAGAGATTCAAGGCATCTAAAGGGAGAAGGAGAAGTCAGCTTTCAGGTTCATTTGCTTCTCTTCTTTTGAGAGAGAGAGAAGAGAGAGATTGCTTGAGTGAGAATGAGAATGGAGGAAATGAAGGGAGTGGGTTTGTGCAGAGAAGAGGGGTCGAGTTCCCAGGTGCACGTGGGATACTGACTAACTTCTTTCTTTGTGGTCACTCTCTCTCTCTCTCTATATAATCACATTTTAGTTTAGGGTTAAAAAGGCTTTCTGGTCCATTAATGCAACCCACATCCACGTGGTTTCTTTTTACTATTTCTATAACCATTACTAAACCAGTCCTTTGTTGCTCTTAAACACACTCAGCTTCTAGCTTAAAGTTAGCTACATTACTCGACGATGTCTACTTTTACATTTCTTTTGCACTCATAAGAGAAAAAAGTATATTGAAAAGTAAAATAAAACCCCGTGAAGCAGCCAGAAATTAATCATAATCCATAGAGATGCCTATATTAGTAGCTGATTACATGTTCATACCACAATATATAGGTTACTGGTGACACCTATAAGCTATATATTTAAACTGTTGTTGAGCAGAAACCAAATGATGTTTTAACTAGAGATTGTTGAAGCTGGCTTTGAAAATAACCTTTTATAACTGGGGGAATCTGATGCTTATATGCTTTCATATATGTGAGAGCTTAAGAAAGAACAGGGTGCATGTCTACAAATGTTATGATTCTACTATTTGTTAAATTTTGTTTTCTGTGTGTTTATGATGATTATCTAGATAGCGAGCTGAAACAGACATCATGAATAATCTTGGTTGTAATTTGTAAAAAGGAGATATGGGAGAAGAAGAAAGAAAAGAAAGAAAGAGTGGTCCAAAAAATAACATTGAATTTTCATGTCTTTTTGAGCTTATTGCACCATTGACCATTGTCTCGTCTCTCTCATAGACACGTCTTCTATTTTATTTTTGTCCCCCCATATAATTTGTATGTTAAGTTTTTTTCCCTGACATTAAAACCATCAAGAAAATTAAAATCTTTAACGTAATGAACAAGAATCCAACTTAAATGAATAAGTGAATGCTTTATTGAAATTGGAGTATCCCTATCTTCATTTATTATCATGACTGTGGAAGAGAGAATCCAATGGTGTCTGTTACACTAAAGCGTAAGTTTACAACTAGAGTCGTCCGATCGAAACGAAGAGGCACACATCACATGCATGCACAGCCTTTTTATCTTTTTATCTATAAAAACGTAAGAGATAGAGTGAGAGATGGGAAAGATGTCACGCCACATTGGGAGCACACTCCCTAAGTACGCTCTAGTATTTTCCGAATTATATTTGATTGATTATAATACACATTATATGATGTAGGTTGTTGAAAACATGTTTACCAGAAAAGGATTACATAGTGTATAGTGTAGGTTGTTTAACATGTTTACCAAAAAAAAGGATACATAGTGTCGGTTGTAAATTATGAGTGGATTAGGTATACTAGTAAAAACGAGAGAAGCTTCACGTAATAGTGTTACTTGATAGAGAAATCGATATGAAATTAACATATCGCTGCCTACAGTTAAGACTAGCTTGCATGGACACAGGCTCGCAAAAGCCTGGCCTCGGTCTACATACACTTCATCTGTTTATATAATGCTTAAGTATCTAAATTGTGCTTAAGTATCTTTGCAATAACATTAACCAAGAAAGTCCACCTGTAAGGAATGTTACTGCTTTGCATTAACATTTTTCAGAGTAGTGCATTGTGTTCCGGATTCCTTAGGCCTTAAGCCCAGATAAACAAGGCCCAAATTGCTTTCAGTAATACTTTTAGTGTCTATATCATAAACGGTCATAAACCAGTCAACAAGTGCTTCAGTAACTTGATTCAGGTATAGCTGACATGGATAGGGGAACAGGGAAGCTAAATAATTTATATGTGGTCTCTCAGAAGAACATATATGATGGTGAGAGTACATTTGATTAGCTCTTGAGGAAGCCATTTATGCGATGGTTGAGTCATGATACCATCATCCTATGTTTTGAACTTTTGATGAATCTCAAAGGGAAAGTTTTTACTTCACAAAATTTCACCTAATCTGCCCTTCGCTAACTCTAAGTGAGCTTGTTATTTAATACATGCTTTCATGATCTGCAGACTCGCAAGCAACTCAGTTTCTTAGACTAGCAGTTAGGTTTTACAAACAATTAGCACACATTGTGAAACAGAGGCTTACTCCCAATTAGGGTCGGTCCCGAGATTATGGAAATTTATTATCATTTTTATGTAGAAAAAAATTATAGAGATTTAAAAAAAATTTAGGAGTTTATGTCCATATATTTTTTTTTTCAAATTTTTGGGAGTCTGTAGCGAATGTTTCACTTAGCATGGCTCAAAGTCAGACTTGCTGCCTACTCGCAAAAGTTGCAAGTAAACTCTTTCACAACCTTAGAATCAAAAAACTCATGAAACTAACTTGCAAGGGTCTCACAGTTCCTTTGTATCTAGCTTACGGACACATTCACTGTCGATAAACTGTGTGAGTGATATAATAAAAAACGTTTTACTTACACTGGTGATTAGTGTTTTCATTCTGAAACATATTACTACCGTCTTTGGCAGTGGTGGAGCTAGAACTTTTTTTTGTTTGCAATAGGATCAAAACTTTTTTTTCAAAAACTTAATTTATAAACCAACGAAAAAACTATAAATGTATTTTAAGATCACTCATAACTTATAACTTGTTTATCACAATTTTATTTACTATATTTTAAAATATTTTTTCCAATAAAACAAATAAAACAATTATTTAAAAACTGATCATCATTACGATTTGTAATATTATTTTAATGATTTTTATTCATATCTTAGAAACTACCATCCATCAATAGATTTTTTTCAGTTTCAAAAACTATCCACTAATTATCTAATAAATTTAAAAGATTAGTTTACTTCTAAATTATAAAATTAGTTAATAAAGATATTCAGATCATAAATATAAACTCTAAATATTTTATTGAATTGAATCAACGTATCGTATTATAATAAAATAATGTAATCAAAAGAAGAAAATATAATAAAAAATAGAAATTAACCACAAGTTTATCTTAAACTTTTTTGTTGAGCATCGAGTTCTTGCTGTCTTCTGTTCAAATTTGCTCATTTATTATTTTAATATTTATCTAATATTAATTATTTGAGCTTTATAAAATTTGAGTATAATACAAATATGCAACTAACATTTAAGACTAGAAAACTTGTTTATTGAATTTTAGATAACCCTAATATAAAATTATAAATGCAATGTTTAACAAATAAAAATATAAACATATTATTTATATAATTAAAATGTATCTATATTTTAATGTTTTGTAATTATTTTGTGATATTTTTAGTGGTGTCAAATTTTTCTTTTTAGTGGAGTCAGCTCACCCCTTCCTCTTTTTTGAATATTGTAATTGGAAAAGGGTGGGTTTAAGATAATACTGTCTTATCCGATTATACCTAGTTGGGACTATAATAACTAAAACTCAGAAAGAGAATGGTTATCGAATTTCACAATTTCCCAAGATGTACATTTAAAATTATATAACCTGACGTATGTAAGTATGAGTTTACAGGCTGTATAGTTAAAGTTCAATATTTCCAGTGATTAAGAAAATGTCAGGCATGCAATAAGAGTCATTGTTAATGAATGAGCCAGGTGTTATGGGAAAGAGGAAGTCATATTGCATTAACTTAAAACTTTAAAGAGCATTAAGGTGTTGGTGTGTTCAACTAAAACACTTCGAGATTCTCTTCTCTATCTATATTGCATTAAATTAAAGGCTGGTGACAAAACTATTTTAAACCCCACCAATACATTTTTAACCCACTTTGAAAAGTGAGAGAGACAAGTAAGGGACCTTGCTGCTCTTTGCAGTTGGATCCTATGAATATGGAAGTAGTAATCAATACATTTCATGGGACAATTTTTCAATACAAAGACAAAGTAAAATGTCAAAACTAACTTGGACCACATTATTCACAAAAACAACTAACAAAGAACCTATTATGGAACTTTTTTGATACAAACCGATTATGAAACTTGACCAAGTGATAATACTCTTTTTATCTGCTTGATGATAATTTTTTTTTCTTTTCCTATTCTTAACAAGTGAAACTCACATTATCATGTAGTTGACCAGAAAGGAAAAAGAAAAACTCACATTATCATATGTTTGTGCACTCGGGTACGAATTGTTCTCTTTCTTTTTTTACATGTCGAATTCACTATACTAAAGCATTTATCCGAATATGTCACTTGTAAATGGATTTGTGTATTTGAGATTCAAAGGAAAAGAAAAACATGAGATATACAACAAATTAATCATATAAAATGTTAAGACATATGAGTAATTTACAAAACGTACGTTCTGACATGAGAAGCAAAAATCTATTCCCATCATTATGGAAAAAATTTGGCTGACCGAAAGGTAGTTAACATGCTAATCTTGTGTAGTATTCATTTGTACACTATAGGTGATGATGTTTTTGCTTTATGAATAAAACAAAGTAACGTTGTAAAAAAAGGTTCCAAATAGTCCATTTCTCCTTCTTATACGATGCATAAATTCACAATCAACGAAATGAAAAAGTTTAAAGCCACCAAATGTTGTCTATTATAGAACGAATATTACAGTATAGAATCGTTGAAATCCTATAAATAAATTCCAATATACGTCTAACTGCGACATAGAAAAATACATAGAAACATATGTCGGTCAAAAGCTTAAGATTCTCCCACACATTGAATCAAATTCGCATGAAACCAAAGAGAATATCTTTATATGTATTATAATATAAAAAGTATATAGTTAGTAATTTTTCTATTACGCAACCATTTGGTTGTCGCTTTGTGGATTAGATCAACATAGTCTTAATCACTATAGTTACAAAACCATTTTCATTCACTACTAATATATCTAAAATAAAGTTGCATGGTTGAAACAAACCAAATAAACTCTTTAATCTAAGTAAGTTCCATCACACATTAACTATAGAGTTGGTGACAAATGACAAGACGTTGATAATGTAGGCAAAAGGTAACCTTCATCAGAAAGAAAAAATAAATTAAAACTAGGGGCTCCCATAGATAATGAAAAATACCGAAAACACCCTCTTGGTTTTACATCTCCTAAAACAAAACGACAAAAATAGTCCAAGGGTGGAAAAGTCAAATAACACTTTTCAGTTTGCGATGCTCTCTCAAAAACCGCCTGCTTACTTTCTCGGATCACGACGGTGATGACCACCGCCTGAAGACGTCTCCGTCACCGGATGAGACTCAATCTTCTCCTTTTCCACATCCACGAACGAACAGTTCTCTCTTCTAAAACTTTCTTCTTCGTCCATGATCATCTGCTTCGATCTACACTCCACGCTACAAAACGCTCTATCACCTCTAACATATTCAAACCATAACCAAAACACATCCTAGAAACATTAACACAAGTCCTGTAATAAAAAAAAATGATTTTATTTACGTTTGGTTGGTTTGTAGATGACTTACTTATACATGTAGATATCTTTCGCTGGAAGAAGTTTCCTTCTACAGAGAAAACAATGTTCGAGAAACCCAGAATCCTTACCACGGCGGAGATCAGAGGCGACGGCGGTGACCATGACGGTGGATTTGTTAACGACTTGAAACGGTTTGGGACTAGCAAAGCCGTCGCTAAGAGTGTTGTTGTTACTAGACTCCAAAACAATACTTAGTCCCACCATTTTCATCTCTTATTATTATCTCATTATCTATTATGGTTTCAGGTGTTAATGGCGAGAGGAAGGAGAAGGAAGAAGTTTTGGTAATGGAAATGTTGTTATAGTAAAATGGTTTTAAAGAGGATTGGTGGGACCTACAAGTGTACTACGTGAGGACGATTGATTTGATTTCTTTCGCTTGATACTCGCCACGTGTTGTCCTGCTCTTCATTACTTGTGTAACTTTTCTTTTTTTTTTACCAAAGTTTTTGATAATTTCTCAAAAGTTATCTAGTTTCATTTTGTCGTTTTGTGTGTGTTTCTATAAGTCTACTACTTCTATATATGAGAGTTTGTATTCGTGTTACGTTTCAATAGGTCTTCACTTCTGCTGTTGAATTTGGAAGATAAGGAGATATCAATAGGAGACAAAAGTCTGCATGACTGATTATATAATATGAAGTGGGTCAGATTTTTATATGGCCCATATATTCAAAGGCTGCAAGCACATTATTATTTCAATAAAGGCCCAAATTTTTATTAACTTCAGTCACTCTATTTTTTCTTCCTTTTGTTCATTTACTTATACACAATTTGGTATCTGTTGAACACAAATCAGAATCAGTCTCATGGTATGAATATTATTAAAAAATTAACCTCTTTCACGAACAAGTATTGAATTTACTGAACAAGTTCAGCTAACTTAGTCCCTCGTTTCCTCGACGATTTTTTTTTTTGCTGTTTTTGTGGGTATCAACATGCATTAGTTGATTAAAAGGTTATGTTGGCCTCCATTTATTTCATTATGTATGTTAGTTAACAACTTAACAGGATTTTCTGTTTCAAATAATGGCGTCTTCTCATCATATGATTTTTAGGGAGATGTGGGTGTTCGACTTAAGATAGAAGCAAAGGTTAGCTCAGAAAAGCATCAGTTTTATTGTTGATGATTAGACTACTAAACATCATGACTTTAAACAAACACACATAAACATAATTTAAGTTTCACATGTATCTTGATTTATTTCGTCAAAATTTTGTTTCTTTAAATGTTGTTTTTAAATTATGCAGAGTAACTTAAAAGTGTACTTCGGATTGAACATGTAATTAATCGTCAACATTACATCGTAGAAAAGACATAATAACTTAAGAAACATGCATGGTTGCCATTTGCCAATTATATCTGAGATTAGGACGTAGTTGTTATCGTTTACTTTACATAAATTGTCTTTGCTTTTCAAATTCATTTGTGTTATCTTAATTATTTTGATTTTTTCCAGTTTTTCCTTCTATAGTTCTATGTAACTTTTGTTCTCAAGTTTGAAGGGGCAATCGATCTATCAACTTAAATGGCGAGGCCAATTGATACACGAATCCAAAATACATGAATGTATTTCGTTCTAGATGAAACATTCGGAAGTAAGATCTAATTATCCTTGTCTCAACTGAAAAACCACAGTGATCTACTTAGGTATAAATTGTTTTATAATTTTTGGTAAAATAATAGTTTCATGCCTTACAAGAAAGATTATATATCGTGAGTGTTTAGATACGCTTCAGGTTCCGTTCATGATATTTTAAAGTTTCGAATATTTTGGTAAACAATAGTATAAACTCGATATAGTATTTATATACTTTACATCGGGTTTAGATATTTATAGTTTGGGTTTGGATAATTCATGTACGATTCAGGCTTTTGTATTTTTTTTTTAAAAAATGAACAAATTAAGGATTCAAATAAAAAAACTGAATCAAATAGTAAATATACATTGTAACATAGAACAATATAGTATTAAATAAACAACCACAAAATATGTTGTTAACCAGAAAACAGAACTTGACAAGTATATATGATCGAAGACAAACCCATCTATGGAAACCAGTAAGAGAATCAAATTTTTGAGTGCTCGTACAAGAAATTGAAGTATCATGCCAAGGACATCAGTGACGTGTTTAACAGAAAAAAAGTTGATACAATTAAGCCAACAAACAAAGTTTGCTGATGAGTATATATAAATGTGAAATTAATGAGCTTAAAATATTAGGGATTTAAAATTATTATATATTTTTCAGATATTTTGGATATCAATCAGGTATCAGGTGTTATCTGATCGGATTCAGATATCTAATTTCTTTTAGTTCAATATGAAAATATAAAGGATTTAAATTTGGATATTTCGTAACAGGTTTGAGTATTGGATATAATGCCCAAACCTATCTAACATCTTTATTTTCTATTTAATATTATGCTCAAATCAAATCAGATTATGTTGAACATTTTTACTGATCAAACATAAAACCAGTAGTATAATTTATCATTTTGTTATATTTATCAGCTTCAATTTACGCCAAATTGTAATGAATTTGCCCCTCCATCTAGTCTATTCATATGCCGTTATAAAGTCATTTTGTCAATAATTAAACAAACGCGATTAATTTGATTATGAAAAATATTTCAAACCGGATCTTAACATTTGACTTTTTTCTTTGCTTTTGCAAGATATTCCATTAATTACTGCTTGATTAGTGATGGACCTTATGGTGAATGGGTTCAACCCAAAATTGGTCAAATTATATGATCTAGTAAGCCACAATGTGGACAATAACATATAGAATAATATATTTATGTTTCCATTATAGAAATTTGTTCAATGTGGAATCATTATAGCATTATGTCAGAGTCTAAAAGCACAATTAGATATGTCGGAAAAGTGAAAAACAAAAGAGAAGACTTAAGTGCTATACCTAGTGAGAAATGGCTAACTTTGCACTGTTCCATTTAAAGGATAACACTATCCATCACAATTCATTAAATCTAAAACATTTTGGTTTAAAACCAGATTCTAAAACTTTCACTATTATATTGGTATCACATACATTTTCATGCGTTCAACTTGTGTTTACTTAATCAACATTGACTCGAAATTTTTTTTTCTATTGCAAGAAGTTCTGGGGACAAAACTCAAATTTTTTTGGAGCTAGTGACAAAAACCGATTGCTAAATACTTTTCTACAGTTTAGATTTGAATCTGGCATTTCCACTCTTAGAACTTACTCAACGATGAGATTTGGTGAAATCTCAACTTAGAAAAAAACTAAGAAAGAGAAACATATTAAATTCTCAAAACAGACCCTGCAAAAATTTGTCTACAGATTTAATTGCTACACTATATCTTCACAGGTATTTAATTTTATATTTTAATTTGTGTTTGCACTTAATGTTATATTTATAAATGTAGTCATATTTGTTATATTTGTATTTAATTTTATATTTTTCATCTTAACGTAAAATGTATCGTCGATATTAAGTATCATATAGCCAAATCCAACATTTATATAATTAGATCCATATCTAACATATATAGCGGATAACTTTTTCAAACAAAAAATACGCAAGTAAACGATTATGAATTAACATACTAATTATAAAAGATACATTAGCTATAACATTTGTAACAAAATGAAATGATTGTTAAACTTCTACCAATTATGGATCATAGAAAAATTAAGATTTAAATTTGATGTAACTGATATAAAATTATAAATATGCTTAAGTTTGTGTACATTTAAACCATGTATACGTGGATATTATTTTTTTAGTATTTTTAAAAATTGTTTTTTTCTAAGTGATAATATATATTCAAAATTTATCCGTGTTCAATAATTATTTAATATGATATATATAATCCTAATAATTTTATTGTTTATATTGATGATTTTTTTTTTTGTGAACTGTCAATTGTATCATCGCCTTCTTTTGAATATGATCCGTGCAATATGTAAGTTAATAAAATTATTCTATAAATACTTTGTGTATATTATTGATGTTATTAATTTTTATAGTATTGATAATGCAATATGTAAATTAAAATTTGATAATGATTTATTCTGAATCCAGTTTAAGAAATATTTTCTTAATTTTAGAAAAGAGACAAAGAATTAAGAGTAATTATTACTTCATTAATTTTAAAAAATACAAAAATTATTTAAATATAAATTAATTTAATTATTTTAGTGGCATTCAGTTGTAAATAAGTTATAAGTTTAAGGGATAATTTTTATTGGTACTTCTATTTTAATAATATAGATGTCAGCGTATTATTCATAAATTTTCTCTAACAATTATACTTTAAACACTTTAGTACATAAGCATTAAAATATAATTTATTTACTGATGAGAATTCCAAATTAATATATCCACCAATAAGATTGATCTTAGAGTATAAAGATTTACCTGTAGAGGTAGGGACAAAATCCATTTGTTCAGATCATTCAAGGAATGTTTAGTCAAATAGTCAAATAAAGGACCACATATTTATATTTTTACCTTGTAGTATTTGGACACATAATGGTTACAGTAAACCACATATAAATGACGCATTCAAATTTAAAAAAGATGATGTGAAATATACACAAAAGCTTATGCAATTTAATCAAAGTGGGACTGTGGATGCAACAAAAGCAGAACTGGTAAATGTCGGAGAAAAGTAAATGGTCGCTGTTTTATGATTCATCAAACTAATTCTAGTACGAACAAAGTTTAACGGGAACGTTCTAGACGGGAATTCTTATATATGTAGAAACCATAATTCGAATAAAATGAGCGAAACAAAATCACTCACATATATATAAAGAGATTTACTTTTACCACAATTTTATTTCTCATGCTTTTGTGGAGTAGCCATTAAAACACAGAGAAAGAGATTAGGTAATTAAGGGAGAAGATGACAATGGAAGAGAGTAGGGAACTGTGGTTCAGGATCTTTGAACCATAATCTCATGAAAGAGGAAATGTTTCCCTTTGAATTCATTATCGTGATTACAACAGTATATAAAGAGTTAACTGTTACAAGAGAAGTGGGATCTCCCACGAGGCCACGAGTATAAGAAACTATATCTAAACTAGAATAGAATATTCTTGGTTGGCTAACAATTCGTATAGTTTAACATCTAATCAGTATTATTTTCGCCCTTACATTTTGTTTTGTATATTCATTATAGAAAATTTACCACATTCTCAGTTGCCTTCTCTATTTTCTTGCCTTATATTACTAACGGTTGGCAATATACATATGAGCGAGGAAGCATA